TCTCACAGGCTCTTGTGTGGACACTGTTGAATTCATGCTGTAGTGGGTGTGACTATGCCTGTGGTCACACAGCCTTTTGTTTGGACACTTCTGCCAGATATTCCTGGGTTGTGCATATTTCTGGGGTCACACAGACTGGGGTGTGGATATTCCTGTGGTCACACTGGGGTGAGAATACTCCCGGGTTAAATCATTGTGGTGTGGATACTACTAGACTCCCAGAGTGGGGTATGGACATTCCTGGAGTCACAAAGACTGGGGTGTGGTTATTCTTGTGGTCAGAGACTGGAGTATAGACACACCTATAAACACACTCCAGAGTTTAAACACCACTTCCGGCCGGGGATTGGACACTGCTTGTCACAGACTTGAGTGTGTATACTCCTGGGGTCACAGTCAGGTATGGAAAACACCTGAGGTCACAGACCAGGATGTGGATACTCCAGAGATCACTGGACTGGGGTGTGGGTCACAAGGAATGTGAGTTTCTAAAGACACAAGATTAAGCTTCAAAAACCAATTCTGCCCCTATAGCTGGGGAGTTTTAGTCAGCTCCTGTTTGCTGGGCTGTAGAAACCCAGGAATGCAGCCAAGGCAGACTTTCTGATATCTCTTTTTTTTTTTTTTTTTGTCCTTTTTTAGATCGGCTGCACAGCTCTCAGCCAGTGAGCACTGTGAGTGAACCGGTCATCCCTACATAGGATCCGAACCCGCGGCGGGAGCGCTGCTGCACTCCCAGCGCCGCACCCTCCCGAGTGCGCCACGGGCTCGGCCCTAATATGTCTCTTTTTAAAAAAAAAAAAAAAAAAAAAGATGACCGGTAAGGGGATCTTAACCCTTGACTTGGTGTTGTCAGCACCACGCTCAGCCAGTGAGCGAACCGGCCATCCCTATATGGGATCCGAACCCACGGCCTTGGTGTTATCAGCACCGCACTCTCCCGAGTGAGCCACAGGCTGGCCCTGATATCTCTTTAAGAGAGGGGTTCTCAAACCTAAAAAATTTATTCTGTGGAACCTTTTGGCATTTGGTTAAATCTGTGTACCCCATCATAGAACATTTTTAAAAGCGCATGTGTATGTATGCACGCACACACACACACAAAACACACAGGATTACAATAGAAACCAATTACACACTGAAATACAATTATCAGTATATATTAAACTGGAACAAAATTGGGATGCAATAATATGTGAGCTTTCTTTATTTTTTTTTTCCCTTTAAATTTTTATTTTGTCGATATACAATGTGGTTGATTATTATGGCCCATCACCGAAACCTCCCTCCCTCCTCCCTCTCCCCCCTCCCACCCAACAATGTCATTTCCGTTTGCTTGTTGTAACAACTTCAAAGGATTGTAGTTGTTATATCTTCTTCCC